GGCGTGTTCGCAAGCGCCTCATGCCGAGCCCGCCGAGAAGCTGTCAGCGCGAAGGGCCAATCACAGCTTGCGAACACGCCCGAGCCCATCACTAGTCATGATCTGTTTGACACCATTGAAACAAAACGGAGATTCCCCAATGGAGATAAATCAATAAAAACAAAGTTTAATCCTGCCAAGGCTACCCCAAAGTAAACCAAAAATAGTTTTGGCTGGAGTTAGGCTTTTAGGTCCCTCCTAGTGGCCAGGGTAGGTAGATGTAGCTTGGAAGCGCAGCATGGAGATCTTGCCATGTTAAAAGAACTGGTGGTTAAAGTCGTATTAAACTCTGAACCTTTTTTTCCAATAATTCAGCTTCCCTCAACTTCCTGTCCAGTACAAGATCACAAAGGATAGAGTGAACTCCAGCAACTGTTCATCTACTAGCTTGGAGGAGGGGGGGAAAGGGGGCCAGGGGCTGGATAGTAGCTTGATTCGCTGTGTCTTTGTGGAGACACACACCGCTTACTAGCACACACAAGGGTGGCTTCATAGGACCCTGCAAGGGAAAGGAGCCACCCTAAAACAGGATATCAGGGCCAGTGCTCAGGGGACCAGCTGATTCTGCAGGAAACTAAAACTTTTAAATATCAAGAGCAGCATCTATTGTAAGTGATTTCATCAGCATTTGAAATGGCTTAAAAACCTTTTGGCTTTAATATGACTTTAGACAATTCATCATTGTAGGTGTCTGTAAATCATGGTGGGGGTTGTATATGTGCAGGACGTGGTACATGAAATATTTTTTTTAACAACGCCACACTTGCCTCTTTACAGGCCAGCACAGATGGCGGATCAGCAGGCGCATTGACTCCCCAACACGTTCGCGCACACTCCTCCCCAGCCTCCCTGCAGCTCGCCGGAGTTTCTCCCGGTGCACTTTCTCCGCAAGGTGTGGTTTCTGGTCAGTTATCTGCCCCACCGGGTCAGCATCTTCGACAGTCTTCCTACGAAATCCCAGACGACGTCCCTCTGCCTCCAGGATGGGAGATGGCCAAAACCCCATCAGGACAAAGATATTTCCTCAAGTAAGTTGACATCCAACATAATAGAATGATGCCCATCGCTGTGTTATACATTGTGTGTGTGTGTGTGTGTGTGTGTGTGTGTGTGCTTTTTCTGTGAATGCCTTTTTTGTTTTTGTGTTGATGTCTGCACTAGACCAGATCAGCACCTCTCCTTCTCCATCATCATTCAGAACAGAAGAGCTGCTGTCTAGGGTTTGTAGGAGGCCTTTAGGAGTTATAGGCAGAGAAAGTTGCTTGCCATACTACAGGTGGCCACCTATAAAGAAATGCCTCTGGGGGATTACAATGCTGTATTGTGGTCCTGTAGCTCATTTGGGTCAGTTCTGGGAATCGCACTGGTCTGTTGCTTACAGTTATATGTATACTTGCATAAACAGTATATCACACGCCTATAGATGTATATGCATTATTGCATGGTGAATACAATCAAATTCGATTTGGTCCTGCCCCCTCTTGTTACGCATGGAAGGTTGCCTTGGCTCTGCAGCTTTTGAGGGCCCATTCACACCACATCCAGATAATCTCCGGACCAAAACAGATTGTTTCCGGACCCAAAATGCATCCTAATGTATCCCTATGCTATTTTAGGCCTCTGTTCACACCAGTGCAGTCTGTTCCAGACCAGACCAGAAACATACATCCGGTCTCATTTTGTCTGTTCTGGAATGCACTGGGACTGCGGGCAGGTTCACACTATTTTCCGGACCAGATATGGTCCGGAAAATGGTGTGAACCTGCCCTTACGCTACACCGAGAAAGGGTCAGCACTGTGTATGAGAGACGGTCAGGCTTTTCCTGCAGACACCCCATATAGGTAAGTGTAGATAGCACATTACACTTATCTCGGAGGCTGCGGTAGAGTGCATCGGCCTGGAGCTATCCTTATACCTCACTCACACGAGAAAAAGCCGGCACGTACAGCTCCGTGCTGCGTGCACGGCCGTATTGGGCAGCTCCCGGGAAGGACAGGTGCTGCAACTGATTTAGTACGCAGCCCCCGTCCTTCTCTATGGGAGTATGCGGCCTTACGCCGCCCTACGCTCACCCCAAGTGCAGGTCCGTACGGTTGTGGGTGTCCTGGCAAAAACACAGACAGGATCCATTCTGTCCGCCTACGAGTACGGACACCCGCACGGATGTGCAGGACGGGTGAGCGTATGGCCGCGTACTCCCCATAGAGAAGAACTGGGGCTGCGTACTAATCAGACGCAGCACCTGTCCTTCCCGGGAGCTGCCCGATACGGCCGTGCACGGAGCTGTACGTGCCGGCTTTTTCTCGTGTGAATGAGGCCTTAATGTGTGTGGTCAAAACTTCCACCTAGCCCACTTCCTTTTACCCTCAAGGAAAAACAAAATGAGTTTCCTGAGATTTTTTTTTTTCACCTTTCCACTAATCTGCAATACTGCAGCTATTTTCCCCAGGATAGTGCCTGAAAAAAGTGCACATATTGATCTTTTCCTCTCTTTATCTTTCTGCGCTGCCCTGGTTTCCATATTAAGGGCTCATGTTTCACAGAGAACAATGAGGACCCTGAGACTGTAAAGTACACAGAAGTCTGGCAAGCTCATCTGCATGAGCAAGAGCATTTGTTCTGCAGCAGACATCCTAAGTAAATGATTGAAAGGGCTCCTAGCTGTGAAGGATCAGCCCTGATGGAGAAAAGGCCTGGATATAAACGAGGTTGTTAAGCAAAATAAAGACTGCTTTTTAAATCTCTCCCTGCTGGGATCACACGCTGACCTGCCGAGCAGCTTAACTCTTCCTGGCCCGCTGGGGAGACTAGTTTCTGGTGTTGGTGCAATTAAGAGTAAAGTGTGCATGATGGGAGGAAGTCTGCATACTGATAAAGGAACTTAAAAGATAACTGTACTACCTTTTGTATTTTATTTCAGAACTGTAAGCAAAGGTCTAGGCCACTATAAACATTGCAGTGTTTACATTCAGCCTGTTTGCTTCTATACTTTTAACTGCAGACATAAACGTATGAAGTTATAAGTGCCATATACTTATTTGAGGCTGTGCAAATTAATGGCAGTTTCTTTGCTGCACTGCACTCTTGTAATCTGTAACTGCTTACAGCCCCTGAAAGTTTATCTAAGCCCTGCTGATGCCATGTGTTTTCAGGAAAGCAAGATTCATATTTGGAGTGATCGATGATTATCATTTTTTGTGCTGACCCTTGGTCTGGTGTTGTGTACTATGTACTCCGTAACTATACTTTTGCAGAGGCTGCCTGCTTTTAGCAGTTTGTGATCTCCAGTGATTACATGTGTGCAATGCAGAATGTAAATCCTCATATCTGCTGGAGTTGGGCCTTAATTCTAACCACATTTTTTACCTAAATTTATGCAGCATCAGCTTTTTTTCTAACTTTCCAACGAAACCGCCTTCTCCCTGCTGCAAACCTTGAACTACCGTATTTTTCGCTCCATAAGACGCACTTTTTTCCCCCCAAAAGGAGGGGTGAAATGTGCCTGCGTCTTATGGAGCGAATCCCGACGCCCGAGACATGCAATTTTGGGCGCGCGGGGCAAGTAGTAGGAGCCACTGCTCGTTTAACACGAATGATCTAATGAGATCACTCGTATTAAAACCGAGCTGCGGCGACGATCGAGATCACCATAGAGCAGACGAAGAACGGAGGTTCTTCGTCTGCTCTGTGTGATTACTGAGACCGTGGCGCTGTAATCACAGCGCCACCTGTCTCAGCGGTCACTAACTGCAGCTTCTGTCACAGCTTCTGTCATAGAAGCTGTGACAGAAGCTACGGTCTGTCGAGTGCTCCATAAGGCGCGCCGGACCTCCCTGCGTCCTATGGTCCGGTGCGTCTTATGGACCGCAAAATGCGGTACTTGGCCTCTCATGTTAATGCATTGTAGGTGTTCATTGGCTTTCAAAGTTTATAGTATCCCAACTCACATACAGTGCACTGCATCACACAAAGGCATATTCTCATGTATCGCTTGCCCCTCCCTTTTTAGATTGTACGCCCTCACGGGCAGGGCCCTCCGTACCATCTTGTCTTGATTTGTATTGTGATTGTATTGTCTTCCATATATTGTAAAGCGCTGCACAAACTGTTGGCGCTATATAAATCCTGTATAATAATAATAAAGTGGTACCTCGGTTCAGGAACGCTTCTGTTTGCAAACAATTCGGTTTGCGAACAGGAAGTTCGGAAAAATGTTTGCTTCCGTTCGCGAACTCCGCATCGGGTGACTAACACAACCGCAGCCATCTTCCTTCCTCTGACACATGCCCGTGGCTTCCTCTAGTCGAGATCGCGGTCTGATCACAGTTTGATTGAGTTCGCGACCAGAATCGTGGAACGAATTAAGTTCGTGAACCGAAGTACCACTGTAATGTTCAAAATCATGCAGGATTTAAAGCCCTGTGAATAAGTAAGTACACCCTATGGAATGTGTTGCCTCTTTTAACATATTTAGAATGGCAAACATTCGATCTGGCTTCAAATAGTACTTGCAGATAAACGTGGTATACTTGAACAAATGACATCAAATTGACATTCATAATCTAAGTAAATGAAAATGCAGATTTGTCATATGAAGAAAGTAAGCGCCTCCCTATATTTACCACCGCTTTAAATCCATTAAACTAGAATTGGCTGCTCCAGATCAGATGTCAATGATTAGAATCTCCTTTGGGCAGGGGTGGGCAAATGAATATGGAATTCAGAAGCCAGTTGATCCAGTCCAGGAGCCAGCAGGATATTTTTTAGGAGCCAGCTCCATTGACAACAACTAGAGAGAGCTTTAAAGTTTGGCGCCAACTGTCATTTTCAGGGAGCATTGACAACCTGGCTCCTGGCATTTGTCCAGCTCTGCCTTGGAGTATGCAGGTGGACCCTCATATTTGACCCTCGGATACCACACGCCCTGTGTTATGCTATTGACGTGTGGTGTTGTCATGTCATCATGCCAAGATCAATAGATCTCTCGAAGGCCCTCCAAAAAGAAAGTTGTGGATGTCTAGGAGTCTGGCAAGGGCTTTAAAAAGATAACCAAATTATTTGACATCCATTTTTCCACTGTAAAGATAATTATTATACATGTGGCATAGGTAATTAGGTATGACTGCTAATTTGGTCAGAACTGGTCGGCCCAGCCCAAGAGCTGACCGTTTGATGCTAAGAAGTTTCCAAGAATCCGAGAATGTTCTTGCAGAGTTTTCAGGTAAAGTAAACGCATCTGTAGTCAGAGACTGCACCAATTCAACATGTATGAGACGTGTGGTAAGAAAGTCTTTGCTGTCCAACAAGAACATTAGAGCAGGGCTACAGTTGACCATTGAACATATAGGGAAAGAACAGACCTTCTGGAACAATGGACTGAAAAGGCTGATAAATCAACGATAGTTGTTTGGTAACAGTATAAGGCAGAAATCACCTTATAAGGCGACAATGTAACAAGTCAACTCTATGTCAATACAGCTGTGTTGACATAGACTGACTTGTTACATTGTCGCCCTGATGAAGGGATCCTGTGCGATCCCGAAACATTGCTATTTTGTACATGACGATTGGTCCGATTTAAATGGACATGGAAGATATTTACTGAGTGCTGGTGATTTCTGCCTTGTACTGTTTGTTGCACGGTACCATCCGTGATTGTCACTGCGAGCACCACTACAAGTACTTGGGCCGGGAACGCTGTGAGGAGTGCAGAGGGACTTACTACCTTCTATGGTGACAGTAACAGACATGTTTCCTGCAAACCAAAGACAGCATTTCAGGAGAAGAACCTGAAAAGTATGAAGCGTAATAGAGCAAGTGTTATGGTTTGGGGTTGCTTTGCTGCTTCAGGGCCTGGCCAGCTTGCAGTCATTGAGTCAACTAGACAATCTGCATCTTGTCAAAGTGTGACTTGATGAGAATGTGAGGCCATCTGTCCAAACAGTGGAGTTAAACTGGAAATGGGTCTTTCAACAAGATAATGATGCAAAAGCACACTAGCAAATCCACCAAAGAATGGCTCAAAAA